TTGAGCCAAGCTTCAGCGGCCAAGTCTAAAGTCTAAAGAAGATGGTCCTTTCAGTTAATGGAGAAATTTCAACTATATGTACCTCCGAACATTCCCTGTCTTAGCTAGTGCTGATGGATCTAGCTTTCATCTTTTGTGTATGTGAATCTGGCTTTCTGATTCGGTTCATTAGCTGTCCTTAAACTAAACTATAAACAAGTAACTCACTGTCACGTACATGCACTAATTAAAGCTACAAATGTTTACTTCCAAACCGCATGGAGAAATGTCTTAGAGGGTGCTTGGATACGTTTTAGTCCCATGACTAAAATTAGTGGGACTAAAACTTGCTAGCCTCACCCATGCTTGGATCCAAATGCTAAAGAGACTAAAATCAAGTTATTGAGCATTTATTATCCTCAAACCCTCCAATCCAGAACTCGCATGTGTTAAAGGAGAGGAATTAAATGAGGAGAGAGAGGGCTAATACATATTTTAGTAGGTTTCCTATGACTAAAAATTTTTAGCCTCAAGACTAGTCCTAGCCTCTCTTTAGTCAGAGGTGCTTGGAACTTTAGCCTCTAAAAAAGACTATTTTTAGTCAGACTAAAAATAGTCCCTTGGATCCAAGCACCCTCTTAGCCTTCCTTTCAGTAAATTCATCAGCGCGGATATATATGAGGTCGGTGTTGTCGTGCTTGTTTATCCGCAAATCGTAAGTGGCAACTACTTTTTAGGTTAGAAGATTTTACGTGCAGATCAAAATCACCTGCCACCCAAGTAAAATCTTACCGGTGATCATGTCCTGGTAAATAAATTCTTCCTTGATCGGTTCATAGACTCCATCAAAGGGGAAAAGATTGCCTCCAAGATGTGGCAGCGTGCTTCTAAAGTATCGTGCAATAATTAATCTTTAGTGATAGGTACGAACACTATTCTTAGGTAGATTTTTTTCTTGTTGAGTAAGCTCATAAGAGTATAAAATTGGTGTAAGATCACTACTAGTTCCCTATACGAAATATTTTTTTTCCTAAAGCAGTAGACTGATATATCTCCAGCGTATCTATAATTTTTTATTGTTTCATACTATTATAGTATCAATCTTTGATGTTTATTATACAATTATATATCATTGTTTTAGACTAACCTATTAACCTAGTGCCTAGTGCCCGTTGTTGGTTTTTGCTCGTTTTTGGCTTTTTAGAAAATCATTATCAAACTGAGTCCAAGCAGAGAAAAAACTGTGGATTAATTTTTTTGGACCAGAAGAGACCCTAGAAGGTTCAGGAGAAGACCCGACGAGCCACAAGAT